TTTTTTTTTTTTTTTTTTTTTTTTGAGACAGGGTCTTGCTATACAGTTCAGGTTGGCCTTGAACTCATTACATAGCCCAGGCTGGCCTCAATCTCATGGCAACCCTCCTGCCTCAGCCTCCAGAGCACTGGGACTACAGGTGTGCACTATCACACCCCCAGTGATCTTATCTTAAATGTAGCCATCACCTTCCTGTTTCCTACTATGAGTGGCCTAGGAAAACAATTCCTCCTCCTGCTTCACATAGCAATAAACCAACTTTTAAACTGCCAATTACTGTTTAAGCCTTAAGAGTTCCTACTTTACCAACAAATCGTAACAAACCTTTTGGGGAAGGAAAACTGTTTTCTGTTCCTTTGCCAACAGGTGTCGCTGGCAAGGACAGCGAAGCCTGGACAGCAGAATCCATCTTCTCACAGTCCAGAGTCGGAGAACTGGGAGCCGACTTTCGGGTCACTTCCTGTTGTCTTTCCCGAACTGCTAGTTCTTGCCTTAAATCTGCAAAATGTTGCAAACAAAAACAGGAATACTCACTACAGAAAGCAGATACATCATGCAAGTCACATCTGAAATGTCACAGAGACATTTTTTCTAGTGTACTATTTCTCAAAAATGAACTTCCTCCTTAATACCTTTCATATCAAAGGTAATTAAAAATTACAGTTCTAAATAATCTATTACAATTTTAAAATGCTACAACCTCAGAGAATAGTTACTATTCCCAAAGGCAAAAATAGGGCAGAATCTAAAAGAGAAATCAGAGTGAATCTGATATAAAAATAAATTATTCTATGTAACTCATTAGCTTTCATTTTGAAATGTTATAATTTCAGAATTACTGCAAAATCAGTGAAATGTATTACTGTAATTTTAAATTCAGTTTTTAAATTATCACTATGAAATACTTTGTTTTAGAAAAGTATTCAAAAGTTTGAATTTTTTTTTGCTTTCAAATACTGAATTTTTTATCCAAAATCAGTATTTTCATTTTCAGTTGTATAGCTAACTTACAGTCTTTTATTGGTACATTTTAGGTATACAGTACAGTTATATTCATCAATGGGATCTGGTACCTTTACATGACTTATCTTGGTTCTTATTTTTTCCCATTCCCCAGCCCTTCCTCACTCCCTCCATCCTACCCAATTTACAAAGACTTTGTTTACATGTTTTTCCTTTTCAGTTTTTTTCTTTTTTTCTTTCTCCTGCCCCTCCCACGTCCTCTACTCTTTTAGACCTCTTCTTCCTATTACAATATCAATTATACATTTTGATCCTTATTAACATTTTTAATTTTTCACACCAGAGAAACTATTAGGTATTTACACCTGTGATTTATTAATTTCACTTAAGAGTATGGCCTCAATGTGCATTCACTAGCTATAAATATCTCTAGTATCTCGTTCCTTATGGCTAAGTAGTACTCCATTTCATTTTTTCAAATCTTCTTTATCCAATCTCCAGTTGATGAGCAATTGGGCTGTTTCCAAATTTTAGCTATTAAGTTGTATACCTAACTTATACCATACTGCGCATATTGATAAAGGACACAAAGTTATCCCACTCCTGGGACCCAAAAGAATTAAAAACAGTCACAAAGATATTTGCACCCTCGTGTTCATAACATTATTCATAATAGCAAAGAAATTTAGGCAAGCCAAATATCTATCCATGAATGAAAGAAAGAAAATGGGTACATGCTATGGAGTATTATTCAAACTTTAAAAAGGACATCATGTGACATACTACAACATGGATAAACCTTGAGAACATTATGCTAACTGAAATAAGCCAGTCACAAAAAAATTTATATAGTAACAATTCCACTGTATGAGATATAGTCGAACTCATGGAAACACAAAGTAGAACTGTTTCAAGCCACTGGGGAGAGAGAAAAATAAAGAGTTGCCTATTTCATGGTTTATACAGTTTCAGTTTTACATGACAACAAGTTCTACAGAGACAAAGTTCTAGAGACCTGTTATCTAAAAATGTAAACCTACTTAGCAATACTGAAATGTATATTTTAAAATGGTTGAGATGGTAAATGCAATGCTTTTTACAACTATAAATGAGACACAAAGTTAATATTTTATATATTATATAAATAAACAGAAGCTCTTCAGATAAATCACTCTTTAGGCAAAAAGGGAAGAAAAGGCATGAAAAAACAATCTCTAAAAGAGTCAGTGAAGACTGAAAAAAAGCTTCATGAGTAGTAGTAGCTGAAGAACAAGTTAAAAACCAGTGAGCTAGCAATTTTCATCATTCAATGCATTTCAGAAGTATTTTTATTGTTGACAATGCTGATTGTTGACAAAAGTGTAAAACCAACCCCCTCACTGTCAAAAGAAGCAGAAAGATACCAACATTATAAAAAGTAAGCATTTTGTATTATGAACATAAAAACACTCCTTTGCCACTTGTAAAAATTTCCTAAGAAAATCCTAAAAAACTTAAAATGCTCAAATATCATGTCTGGGGATTGAGGTTTTCGGGGGTTTTGTGTTTTTTGAGACAGGGTCTCATTATGCAGTTCATGCTGGTCTTGAACTCACTATGTAGCCCACACTGGCCTCAAACTCCTCTTTCAGCCTCCAGTGCTGGGATTATAGTCTAAGATTACAGACATGGGCCACCACACCCAACAAACCCTCACTACTTAAAGCAGTTAGCCACCAATAATGAACTCAACAGATAGAATATAACTATACAATAAAATATTCCATGACCTTTTTTTAAAACCTGCTTTAAAAGATTTCTTAATAGTATGGATTATATTCTCCATAGTACGGGGATGTGAGACAGGAATTATATAAAGGAAAAAATATAGATATGGCTATACACAGTTAAGGAAAGACTGGAAAGAAATACTGTTAGTAGATTCTCTCCAGATAAAGGGACTGGCAGTGATTTTTATTTTATTTTTTTCTGCATTCCATTATGTATAAGGAAAAGAGGGAGGAAAAATTTTAAAGGAAAGTATTAACTATACATACAGTATGTATACAACATTTGTACATATACAAAACTATTTCAATAAAAGAAATTAAGAAAAAAAAACCCTAACAATATATACATGCAGTGGCAATGGTTAAATTTTTGAAAAATCAGGGTTTGAATCAAAGCTAATAAATTGTATTACCTTGCACAAAACTCAAACTCTTTCTGCCGCAGTTTTCTCATTTATAAAAGAACCATGTCAGACATGGCAGCACGCACCTATAATCCCAGCACTTGGGAAGCTGAGGCAGAATCACCATGAGTTGGAAGCCAGCCTGAGCTACAAAGTGAGCTCAAGGCCAGCCTAAACTATACAGTGAGACCCTGTCTCAAACCAAAAAAAAAAAAAGTAAAAATAGTTATAATACTTACCTCTTAACATTGATGATATAGGTATAAATAGATTAACAGAGTAAAAGCACTTAAAACACAGTACCTAAAAAGTATATAAATTGTAGTTTAAAATAAATTGAGGGCTATGGCCAGGTGTGGTGGAACATACCAGTAATCCCAGCTACTGAGGCTAAAGGTAGGATTCCAAGTTCATGGCCAACCAGGGCAATTTAGCAAGACTGTCTCAAAATTTTTCTAAAAGGCCTGGGGATGTAGTTTAGTAGTGGAGCACTTGCCTAACATATACAACAAGGCCCTGGGTTCAACCTCCAGCACCCCAAAAAAGTGAAAATAAAGTGGATTCTTCTGCTTATAAACAACAAGGTAATAAATCTTCTCTAAGCTACAAATCTTACCTCTTGCTTCATCCTTTAACCGCTGTACAGAAACCAACAAAGATTCCTTTTCATCAAGTTCACTTTCTAAAAATGCATTTCTTTCAATGGCCTGATTTAGCCTTTGTTCAAAGTCTTCCAATGAAACTATTGTTGCTCTAAAAAGAAATTCAAGAATTAAATAAATAACATGCAAATAAAATAGCTATACAAGTAGAAACTGTCTCTAATGCCATTCCTGACCCTGCCATCCTGGCCCAGTTCAGAGGGAATGATCTCACCCCATTCAACAAATATTAACACAAACCAATATACTCTGAGCCCTTCCATTCTGTGCTATTTGTTGCAAAAACAAAATTCCCTAAGGTCATCTCCATTTTTATCAATCCCTGGCAAATACCAAAATGTCTCTCAAATCTATCTCTTCTCTGATTTTCAGCCCCAACCTTCTCCAATCTTCTGCCTTAATTCTTCATCCATTAATATAGATTACTCCTTCAGTGATCTATCTTCAAGTCTCCTCCCTCGTGGGGATCATGAGTATTGGTTGTAAGTATTGTAATTAACTCTAGTAACTCCATATGTGTTAAGTTTCTCCAGTTTAGCAGGTAGAGTGTTTCCTTTGTGGAATTCCTGAAAGTTACAGTTTCTTGTCTCTGACCTTTAGATGTGTGGTTGTCCGGGTTATTACTACCCACGGTGGGTTGTTTTTGTTGAACCTGTTTGCTCTTTTCCTGTGTGACCTTTCAGTTACTATGGCAAACCCATCCCATAATAATTTGTGGTTTTTTGCTTTAAAAGGCCGGTGCTTGCCGGCAATAAACGCCGCCTTGATCAGACTCTTGTCTTGGCGTCCTTCCTTTCTCTCTGCCCCATCTCCACCCCGCTGCTCTTTCAGGTTTGAGGCACTGCTGGACAGTGCTCTGCGTCGCCGGCTTGCGACACTCCCTGCCTTTAACCCCTCAGTATGATCTTCTCAAATCAAAATCTTGTATTACTCCTCTGTACAAAGAAAAAGAATGTTTTCAAAGAGCTTCCCCACTGCCTAAAGAGTAACTCTTAAACACAACACATTAGGTTCTTCCTAATCTGGCCCCAGCCATCCTCCAGTCTCATTTCATTCAGCCACATTGTGTCTAGACAAGTCAAAGTGAACTATATTAATACCTCAACCATCTCTCTGTCTCTGCCCTTGTATCTGTCTCTTCACCAAGTTAACTGTCTCTTAGCCAAGTTAACTGTGTCTTAATTCTTTGTAGACAGCTCCAATATCTGCAAGGGTTCCCGAGTTCCAGAAGATGCTTCTGCCGTTGCTCTTTCCATCATATCCTGGAGCAGCAGTGTAAATCTTCTTTTTACTACTGCCTTTGTCAGTGAGTTCTTATCTGTCAGCCCCTAGGGTACTGACTAGCTTAGTTCAACCCCAGCTCCATGTCAATCACTTAAGAGTCACTTCATAAATATTAAGAAAAGAAATACCAGGCAGTAACTATAAGATAATAGAAATTAGAGTTGGAATAGTTAGGAAACAACTAATTACAGAGGCATAAAAACTTGGCATAGTAATAGCAAGTTACTATAGGTTGTGCAGGAAAACCAATAAATGCAATAATTAGGAAAATATTCATCAGGCAGTATTTAAACAAAATGAAAAAGAACATAGATCTGCTAGGAGATGACTACAGAATCCAAGGGTAAAGAAGGCTTGAGGTCCTACACACAAAGTGTGCTAATACTGAGAACAGAGAGGGATGGAGGGATGCATGAGACATGTTTTAAAGAACTAGAAGGGTTAACAAATAGTTGCAAAAAAAAGAAAGGAAAATGAAAAGAAAAGCTTGGAAGAATGTTATCAGGGAAGATAAGGACTGATCCCTTTCAATACAGTGAGTTACAAATGACATGAAATACCAAAAGGAAATGTTCTGGAACTAAGATCTAGATAAGAGGTTGAGCCTAATGATACAGATTTTAATCAATGATTGCCATCTTTGACTTTTCTCAAAAAATACACACCATTTACCTTTTTGCTCGCTCCAGGTCATCATTGGCCTGCTCCAGCTCTCTCACATACTTATGCAACTGCTCCTTAATGGCCCTGGTCTGACTTAAATCATCTTCTAATACAGAAACCTGCTTGTAGCTCTGTGCATACTGATGTTCTAGTTTCTCCTGAAGGCATAGAGAAAAAAGGATGTTTTATTAATATAGTCTTCTTTAATAAAGAATATAACCCAATAAAAAACTTCAAGGAATTTGCCCACAATCTAAGTTGATGGTATCCCTCTCCATTTTACAAATTTTATTTTTTTATAAGATTTTAAAAAGAACTTAATGACACACATGTATTTTCAGGACCTTAACTCACAAAAAAATTTAGCCAACAACTTTCCCCTCAGAAATAACTCTTTATTATAATCTTGCTAAAAAGAAATAAAATAATGAAACCCTTTCCAGGCATGGTAGAACATGCCTGTAATCCAAGCATTCTGGGAGGCTGAGTTAAGAGGATCCAAGTTCAAGTCCAGCCTGGGCCACTGAGTAGCTTGCCTGTCTCAAATAATAATAATAATAATAATAATAATAATAATAATAATAGCTATTTCCCTTTTAGGTATGTTCCCCAAAGAATTATTCTTCAATGATACATGCATACCCATGCTTATAGTAGCACAATTATCTTGGAAGTGGCATATATGTCCATCAACAGGTGAATGGACAAAGAAAATGTGATATAGATATACAGATATATATATACATGTATGTGTATGTGTGTGGAGTACTATTCAGCCACAAAGAAGGATAAATTTGAGTATTTTGTAGGAAAATGGATGCACCATGAGACCCTAATGTTAAATGAAATAAAATCAGACACACAAGCATAAATACTGCACGGTTACTCTTTTATGACAACTCAAAGTATAAATAATTTAAAGAGCAAAATAAAGGATAATATGAAATAGATCCTCTGCAAATGGGAAGGGAAAATTAGGAATGAAGGAAAAAAAGGGAAAACGGAAGAAAAAGGCATTAAAATGTGTCATGGTATATACTTGTATCAACCCCCCACATTGATTACAATGAATGTAATCAATACGTACAGCAAACATACTACTAATAAATATTTTTAAATAAATAAATAGGGCTAGAGATATAACTTAGTGTGAAGGGCCTGAGTTCAATTCCCAGTACCACAAAGAAAAAAACAAAAAAAAGAAAAAAGAAAACTCTTATCTCAAAAATCTTCAAATATGATAGAGAAACCTGAGTTCTCAAGCTAAATGCAATCCAGAATAAACACTGAGAAAAAGACTGCCACTCAGAGTTAAAATTCCCTACCCCTTGCCTAGCCTCCCGACCTTTCCCAATCCCACCCACTCCCTAACAAAAATATTCCCGTGTAGTTGGCTAAAGAGAGTGGTGAAGAGTGGACAGAGACACTCCTGACAATTCCTTTTTAGCAGAAAAAATTTTAAACCAAATTAAATTCCAAAACTGAAGGGGCTATGAACAATGAAATAAATGCACATTTCATATAAATATAATTTTAAAGTACTACACAATGAGGAAAACAATCTATGAAAATAAATCATCAGGCAGCTTTTCAAAACTGCAAGAACTGCCAGGCATGCTGGTGCACACCTATAATCCCAGGACACAGGAGGCTGAGGCAGAAAAATCACTCTGAGTTTGAGGCCAGCCTGGGCTACACAGGAAGACCCTGTCTCAAAAAGAAATAAAATTTCAAGAATTAAAACAAAATATAACTAGGAACATTACAGCCAGACAACTGAGAGCCAAAGATTTCTTAGTGAACTCCTAAACTCTGAACCACCTTTCCCTTGATTCAATGAAAGAAAAAATTTTACTCAAAAATTCATTTTAAGTTTTTTAAAACATTTTCTGGTTGCTTGCTATTCTTACACACCATTCCAAAAATATTATTTATCATTTTAATACAATCCAGTACATTAGACACAAGTTCTGTCACAATTACCTTTAATGCCTCCACTTCGTATTTCAGTCTTTGGTTATCAGCTTGCAGGTCTCTATTTCTTTGCTCTGCCTGTTCTAATTGTGCCTCCAACTCTGCTTCTAATTCTCTGCTTCCTTCCTGGAATTCAACTAGTTCATCCCGAGCTTCCTGGAAGCTAAGAAGAAACAAAGTGGGAAAAATGAATAAAAATAGGAACCACAGGATCATCTTGAAGATAATTATATATCAATTCAATAATCTCTGTCTGAAAATACATGCTCCCATAAAATATGCTAAACAATAAAGATAATCTGCTTTATATTGACTCTATACATTTAAGGTTCAATGAAAATGAACTATAAGCTCACAAAAGACTCACAAATCACTGATTGTAACAGTTATGAAAAGTCTTCATAGTTCGATACTTTTAGCTTCTTTCTCCATAGAACTTAAAACTTATCTTTCTTTTCATTAAAGCAACTTAAAGTGGGTATTATGTCCAATTCTGTTTAACAGAAATCACAGATACATCAAAACAGTTTTGCAGATATCTCTAAATGTCATTTATTCTTTTTTTCCCTTTATTGGTACATTTTAGATACATTTACAATACAGGTACATTCATCACTGGATCTTGTACCTTTACATGATGTATCTCAGTTCTAATTTTTCCCCAGTCCCCTGCCCTCCTTTCAACCCCTCCACCCTTCCCTATTTACAAAGACTTTATTTCCGTGTTTTTCCTTTATTTCCTTTAAATGTCATTTATTCTCTCCACTAATTCAAAATTAGTTATTACACGCTCCACTAAATCTTTTTTAGTTATGCACTGACGTATTATCACTATACCACAAATTAGTTTAACAGTTAAACTGTTTTCAAACAGTTGGTTTCCACTGTAATGTCTATTTAATTTCATACATTTACATTTAGAGGAGAGGTCCATAGGTTTATCTGGCACATGAAGACATCTGTGACACAAAAAAGAAGAGTGCCTGCCATAGTTACATATCATCTATATCCACTGGATAACAGAGTAACTGGCTTCAATGAAACAATGACAGATCAATAAGGTTTGATAAGGCTCAGTAAATTCTGTTAACCAACACAGAAAAATGTGTAAATATTTTGGAAAAAATTATTCCATTCTTAAAAAAATTTAAGTCAAGTTCAGTATTGAAAAGTTATTATTCATAAGTCTCCCAACTAAGTAAATAGTTGAAATTTTTATAAAATGTTCTACAGCCCTGATGCACATCCTCTATCTGGCTGGCACCAGGTATTAATAATGCTTGCCCAAAGAGAACATTCTGCAAATAGGCAAGTGAGGCAGAATTAGTACACACACAGTAGACCAACGATGGTCCAGTCTAGTAAAAAATAACCAGAGGCAAACTGTTAGAAGAGCTCACAAAGATACTGTTTTCCTACTACTTTTGAACAATAAAATTTATGGCATTTTGCCATGAGAACCAGCACAACCACTACACCAACGCCACAGGGGAGTGGAAGTGGATGTGGAATAAAGGCCATGCTTAAGAGCACCCGAAGATAGAGCAGAAATGAAAATAAAGAGGGCCTCTCTGAGGCTCAAAAATAAAAACTGAAGCCAACTGGGAAACTGAAGAAATCTCTGCAATAAAGGCACACTAGACCACCATGGTTGGTAAACTGAATAACTCAGCAATTTAATGGGGCTCTGTTCCAAAATTTAAAAAAATTAAAAAGGGCTGGAGATGTAGCTTCAGGCAAAGGACCTAGGTTCAACCTCCAGTATGGAGTGGAGGTGGGGGAGCACAAGCTAGACACAGTGTATTCCAAATGCCTTCCCCTACTTTCAATATACTTTTCAACATTACCTTTGCTTATACTTCAAGGAAAGCTCCTTCCAATAAGCAGTTTCTTCCTTTAAACTTGAAAAATCTGGTATATCTTCACCATCCATGATCAAGAAAGCCTATGAAATATTAAAGACAAACTATTATAAATTAATAGAACACAGGAATCTAAGTAAAAGCTTAAAATCTAAGACAACAATAATTCTGCAGCATTCAGGAGGGAGTTAAATATCAAAGATTCTAGAAATGTTTAACTCTCTCATATAACTTAGGCATATACATCACTTCACTGCCCCACTCAAGAACAACAAATATTGCAGGTGGCATCATGACAGGAGACAAAACAACAAAGTCCTTTGATACAAAGCCAATGAGGCACTGCTGGTGTTGCCCTGGATTCAGGTAACTTGGCCCCACATAATCATCCAGCACAGAGTTCCAACAGTTGTTCTGGGAATCAGGTGACAGAAAAAGCGAACTGTCGGAGATGCTGCTACTGCATGCTCTTCTCTACTGTACGATTGCCTCAAAACCCCACTTGAACATTTCACTCCAGGTGATACTACCAGATTAGACATGCCCAATAATTTACTACTATCACATTTCTAAAAGCCTTGTTTGTTAATTATCTTTTAGTTTTTTTTGAAGGAGTGTGTTACTGTGGATTGAAACCACAGCTTCTCCTATGCTATGCAAATGTTCTACCACTGAGCTACATATCTAGTCCTCATTTTTTTTTTTAATTTTGAGATAGGATCTCACTAAGTTATCAAGCCTTGCACTAAACTTGCTCAACCTAAGTAGGTGGAATTTTAGGCACATATCACCACTCACTAATCTTTTGCCTTGGTTCTTCTTCCAAGGCATTCAGAGAAAGAGGAAAAAAAATCTATTTAGTTAACCTTGCATTAGGTCTGGCTAACTAAAACTCCCAAATGATTATCAGGTTATGGAATACCAAAACCATTAGGCCCACTCTAAAACTGTGCCTGCTGTTTCTTATAAACCCCCTCCCCTTTCTAAGCCTCCCACTTTATATCTCAGCAATATTGTTCAAAACTGTCTTAATACCCAATGCTATTCCAGATCTGGGTTATCTTCACTACTGAAATGGCTTTCCATTCCTTGTATTAGGAAAGCTTTTATTTTTTTATTATTATTTCGGGGGGGGTTGGTACTGGGGATTGAACTCTGGCCCTTGAGCTTACAAGGCAGGCAGTGGGAACTACTGAGCCAAACCTCCGGGCTCTGCTCTTATTTTTCTTTAAAATCCAGCTGTCACCTTTTCCAGAAAGCCTTTTTTTGTTTTTGTTTTAGACAGGGTCTCACTATGTAGTTGAAACTGACCTGGAACTCACTATGTAGCCCAGGCTGGTCTCGAATACACAGCGATTCTCCTGCCTCAGACTCCGGAGTGCTGGGATTACAGGCATGCACCACCACGCCCAGCCAGAAAGCCTTTCTTGACCTTGCTCAAACAGCATTAAAATCTCCTGTGCTCTCAGCTACGACTATTCCCCACACATGCTGTCAATATCTTTGCCACACAGCAGTGCACCTGCTTACATACACCTTTGCGTCCCGTTAGGCTGTGTAGCACTACTGTATTTATTTCTACCTCAGCACAATGCCTGCACAATAGGAAATACTCAATAATATGTACTGAGTTAAACCATAATTGAATAAACATAATCTATACTGGGCAGCAAGAAGATCAATTTTTAAAGTAAATTAATGAAACCTGGAGATGTAGAGAAATAGGGAGTTCATCAAACACAGTTCACTCATGAAGGCTTAGCAAGAACTGTCACAGGTAAGAACAAATATAGAACTCCAATTTCTAGGTGGGTATATCAAAGAGGTATGCACAACGTCTTTAAGGGAATAAAACAAAAATGTAACTTTATACATTTGGTTCAATTTCTTTGAGGCCTACTGCAAACTTCCTTAATCAAGTCTTTCTTGGTCACACTATTATTACCTTGACATCTGTTAGTCAACTTTCCAATTACCTTAAATTACCAATCAACCTGAAAGTTCTTTGAACGAGATGAATCCCTTCATGGCACCAAGCATAAAACCTTGCTCAGAGAAAACATCTAATGCTTGCAAACATTTTCCCAACACCTACTATGTGTCAGATAAATATTTACTGGCCAAATATATCCTCCTCTAATCTGATTACCCTACACAAGCACACATTTGTTTGTATTATTCTGTTCTTGGGAATACCTTCATAGCATGACAGCACCTTAAAATGTTAACCCCACCAGCTGGGAATCTTGTTGAGGCTGGGTTCTAGGATTCCAATTCTGCTGTTAAATTACTTAAGCAAACTGCTTAAATTCTTAGAGCCTCCATGTTTCATCTAAAAGGATTTAATTTTATAACCCTGTCCTTTCATCAAAGTTCCCAATTCCCACTTCACTTCCTCAGGTGTAGAAGTAATCTTACTTGTAACTAGTTTATTTTGTAGTAAGGTTTGTATGAGGACAAGGCTTATACAGCAACAAGAGGTATTCATATTTTATAGGATCCAAAGTACTTAAAGTCATCATCGTGTGGTATCAATAACTCCTCAGAGTTAATGGCCTAAGTCTCCTTGAAACAAGGGACATATTTTAACAATCTACATAAAGACAGAACTACAGGACATATGAGCAGCAGCATCTAGACATGAGGCAATAATCCGTGTCCTTCGACTACTCTGCAGGTCTTTCCACAAAAAGTGTCCTAAAATTGTGATTACATTTAAATCGATAAATCCCACTCTAAAGATGATCACAATTCCATTGACAACTTAAATGTGCTACCATTTCAACATTGGCAACTACATGTCAATGTACAACACAAATGTTCAGCTTCTGATACACAATCCAATGAATTCTGGTTTTTGCAAAATGCTGTGAGGACCACAGATGACACAAGAAGCAAAGCTCTACTGCTAAACTCTGCTTTCACAACAAACAGCTTAAGAGCAAAAACAGGCAGACTCCCTAGTTAGTTCCTTGAGTTCAGGTCCTGTGTCTTATTTATATATCCTTCCAGACACCACACATCACCAGAAACATGTGACTCAGAAGTTCAATAAATATAATTTGAATTGACTTATAATCTTTCCTTCACTATTCTCTCTACTTCCAAAGTACCATTTTCCTTGAACACCTGAATCCCTGTTTTACAGAAGGAATAAGCATAAAGACTTATGGGTAGTTTATTTCTATTTCACAATGCACTGTCATGTATTAAAATCAAGATTATAAAGTCTATTATTTCTAGACATATTCTCACTAAGTAGCCCAGAATGGCCTAGAACTATGATTCTCCTGCCTCAGCCTCTCATGTGCCAGGATTACAGGTGTGCTCCACCAATGACATGTGACGCATGGGAAGGTACATTCATGCTCAGTTGCACAGGCACCACGAAGAATAGAGCTGATGGGACTTGCTAGGGAGAACCTTGGAGAAACCACTGCACACCAGTGGCCTCAATCATCCAGCCTGTCAGTCCTAAATATACATGGACAACAAAGAACTACCAGACAAATGGGAACACCCAGTAGCATAAAGAAGAAAACCCAAGGATCTACAGAACTGAGAGAAAAGACAATTCAGGAAACGAGAGAAAAATTTCTTATACAAAAACTAAGGATTATCTTCCCACATACTTCCTGAAAGTTGCAAAAGAAGGGAGAAAACCACAACCTGCACAGTTCAGGATGCAGCACACAGGGGCTCCAACCCAGGGCTGCAATGAAAAGAAATCCCAGGATGAATTCTAGCCTATTAGATCCAGAGAGCAGCTCAAACCAAGGGATGGCACCAAGAAAAATGTAGAATCCATAAACTAGCATGATTAAAAGACGGGATAAACCTGAGTATATGGCAAAGGCACAATACTCTTCTATTCAATTAGAAAAAAGGCAAATGAAAAACTCAGAAGAATAAAAAAGCAATTTAATAAAGTACTGATCCTTACATAAAGCATTTTAATTAATGATTTCAAATCTAAAATTTTTAATTTATTGAATTTTACACAACTGGAATAAGTCCCATAACTTTGTAGCTATCAGTGAACTTTTTTTTTTTTTGGTACTCACAATTGAACTCAGGGCTTCATGCTGCACAACTGAGCTACATCCCTAGCCCTGAACTTCCTACTTTTTGTTTTCTTTTTTGGTATCGGGCATTGAACTCAGGACCTTGTGCTTTTGAGGCAGGCGGCGGAACCACTGAGCTAAATCCCCAGCCCATGAACTTTTTGAATGTGCTTTTGTCATAAGTTTCATATGTTGCTCTGTGGTAAGGTCCCAGAATTTGGTAAAAGTTTGTATTCTTTTTTATGTCATTTCTAATTTGTATAGACTGTGGTGATATACCTCTCAATTTTGGTGTTCACAAAGTTCTTATTTGTCTTTTTTAGCCTATGATCGTTTAGCAGTCATCTCAGACCCTTGAATATTTTTGCAGTCATGCTTTTGGTCACCCTTAGATTACATATAAGCTTTCTAAAGCTAAATAATTAGTGTAACTTCAATAGTTACAACTGACTCACTTGTAGGAAATTTTTTCTTTAGAGCTTTCAGTCCTCTTTCTGTTACCATGCAGCCCTTGACAATACTGTCAATTGTGTGGTCCATGAGTTAGTGTCCTTACAGAAGTTCCTTATTTGAATGGCCTACACTGTATTTAAATATGAATTCACTCCTACAAAGAGGGTCAGGATTGTTTTCATCTATAAATGTGACTCACATGCCCATTTTGAAATTCTTCTGGGTGGTGGTGTTTTTTGCTCTTTTCTACCTGCATACACAGCATCAGAACCTCCCAGCAGTTACTGTTTTGAAGGGCACTCAGCTAAGTACTGATCTCTGGGGAACAAGACTGTTTACATCTCTGGGTGTGCTATGAAGAAAACATTTGTCTCTGGTTGTAGAACAGAGACATATTCTTTTGTTTTCTGTTTTTTTGAGACAAGGTCTTGCTGTGTAGTTTAGACTGCCCTTGAACTCACTATGTAGCCCAGAATGGCCTAGAACTATGATTCTCCTGCCTCAGCCTCTCATGTGCCAGGATTACAGGTGTGCTCCACCAATGACATATTCTCAATACAACTACCATTCTTTCATCAGTGTCCCTTGATGATAGAGGTTATAAACAGCATTTTGCATGAAACTTCTTGAGAATTTAGCTTTAGCTTTTGTATCTTGTCTGTCCAACTACTTACTTCAGTGTCAAAATTCTAGCAAAATTATTTCAATATGCTTTTACTTCACATTTTTTTTGTTTGTTTGTTTTAGTTTTTTGAGAACAGGGTCTGTCTAGCAGTTCTGGCCTTAAACTCACTATGTAGCCCAGGATGATCTCAAACTCAGTGATCTTCCTGCCTCAGCCTTCTAAGTGTTAGGATTACAGACATGCACACCATGACTGGCACATTCTTATATTTTTACTGAATCTTATGTAACTAAATGACACTTTTTCTAATAAAAAGGCTACTTCCATAACTTGCTTCTTGGCCCTTCAAATGGTATTGTTACCTATGCCAGAAATCTTGTACTAAAATGATCATCATTTTTTCTAGAATAAATCAAATTTTAAAATGTAAACAAGAATAAGGCATAATAATAGCACAGCATACTGATCAAGAGCTCAGACTGTGAAGTCAAAAATGTCTGGATTTGAAATCAAGCTCCTTTACTCCCTAGTCGGGTGACCTTGGGCAAGTTACTCAACTACTCGGTGCTCCATTTCCTCTCCTATAAAATGGAGATAATCACTAACACAAGATTATTATGAATAGTGACTTAATATCTGTAAAATGCTCTTAACAGATACTGACACATAGTAAACACAGCATAAGTGTTCATTAAATTATTAAGAATTGGTAGCTCAGTAGTGGATCTTTGAAGTTTGACTACAAAGTAAACAGGCTTCAGAATCTAAAACATACAACTGACTCCTTAACATCAATCATTTCAGGAAGCTATATAAATATTTCAGTGATACCACCACTACTGAAACATTTCCAAAACTTCTCTTTTGGAACTGCCTTTTTATGGGCAAGATTAAGAACTAAGCAAAAAGTTCTTGCTCTGTTTGCACACATTTGTTTCCTAAATTATTCAGCTCTATCACTCTAATTTTATCATAAATATTTAAAATTTTTATCAGACTTACCCTTTTTAAAAATCTGATTTTTTACAAATAACAAAAATGTACTGCCACTGCAGATATACTGTTTCTGGGTCTAAAAAGACAGTATGTTCAGTTTGTCCCAAGTTATACTGGGAGGATGTGTTCACTGTCATTTGAAACTATGTAACTAAAGATACTAAGACTACAGAAAATTAGCCAATATCAAAAAATATAAGGCTAAAAAAAAAAAGGAAAATACATGGAGGACAAAAACTAACTGAATAAATATAAATATCCGTTCCAATGGTACATGTGTAATTTTCTGAAGTTGGAATGAAAGGAGATAATTAAGTATACTCCCAATCTTCCTTAATACCATGTCTCATATGGATGGAGTATGAGTCTTAAAATTATAACTTTTACATTAGATATTATCACACACTACATGACTTTCAGCTATCTAACAACTGTTAATTCACTAGGGTTTAAAACAGCCCGTCTAAAACGCCTTATTAACAGGGAAACTATTTCTTGCACAATGATAAAGTATATTTTACACATTGTCTTCTTGTTAAGAAATGTAAAGATGGACTAATGAGGTTGAAAGAGTTCTTCTGGGACACCCTGCATGTAATACATGCCCTTTTGCTGAAATCTTCTACTTCTCCCAAAGGTAACATCTACAGAATCTTTAACTTTTCAAAGCTGATCTTAAATAAGATGTCTTTTAGTCCTATCAAACTTCTTTTGCCATCTTTATGGACAGCTCAGATATTTCTGCCAGAAATATACGAATTTTAAGCTTTAGTAATCAAAGTTATCTCAGTGTGACTTTAAATGAATATAAAAAGTTTTATAAATATCACAAAAGGAAAATCTAAGTTGTTTTTGTTTTGTTTTGTTTTGTTTTTGGTACAGGGGATCGAACTCGAGTCCTTGCACTTACAAGGCAGGCAGGGGAAAATCTAAGTTTTTACTGAGATAGCTGTATGTCATTCATTTTAAATACTCCTTATCCAACTTCAATTTAATTTTTGTTTTTTTGTTTTTTCAAGACAGGGTCTCACTATGCAATGCCCTGAACTCACTATGTAGCCCAGTCTGGTCTCAAACTCATGCTCCTGCTACTTCAGCCTTCCCAAGTGCTGGAATAACAGGTATGCACCACCCTGCCCCGCTCCAACTTCAATTTAATTTTAAAAGCCACAACAGCTACAGCTTCTGAAGATTTAAGAACTTCTATCTGGATCAGGTCAATCTGTAATCAGAATAGCTAAAGATTTTCTTTGTTTCTAATGCACTCTGATTGTAAATAGTAGTAATTTTCATAATTCAGGAGACAAATCCCTCCGTGTCCCAAGTCTTCTCCTCACCCCCATGACTTAATGCTGCATTTTATTCCAATAATTTCATTTAGCAAAGAAACACTATCAAGTGCACAAAAAGCAATATAAATTATCAGACAAAATAACTAGCCACCCATGAACAAGCTTAAGAATAGGTTTGTCTCATAACTAAATAGTTCTTTTTTGAGGCGAATTTACTCAAAAACAATTGAATAAATCCTCTACTAGCTTCTGGTTTATCTTTGACAAGTCAAATTTTTGCTTTGTTTTCTATCTGAGAAGGGAATAAAACTCCCACCAAAAAAAAAAAAAAAAAAAAAAAAAAAAAAAAAAAAAACGGAACTCCGAGCCTAGAAATGGAAATTCTGATCCAAGCTAAGCTTTTCACCAACTTGAATCACCCCCCAGCTAGGCTCAATTTCCCCATCCAGCGAGTGGCAATACTGTTATCTGTCACAACCTCAGCGTGATAAGGTTCGAGAGATAACAAATGTTCTGAAATGCACACAGGCGTTACAGGAATGGAAGGGAATCATCATCAGTGAAACAACCTTCACTTTCTTAGCAAAACCTAAATGGTTACCTGTCTCTTGCCGGGGGTGGGGGGGGGAGGCGAGCACAAACAACCCAAACCCGTTGGTGACACTTTCCTGAGCTCCAAGGGGGTGATTAACAGTTCGGGGCGGGGAGTCACAGCAATGCCAATCAGAGCCCCGCGTAGGCTGCGCCCGCTCTCGCCCCGCACGGAAAGAGACTCTGGGAGATCAAAATCCAAACAGCTCTGAACAACATACAAGGGTAGGCTGGGTGCGCGCTGCCACCTCCGCCTGAGCCACTCCTTGCACCGCGAGCGCCCTGGCCCACCGTGCCACGTCCCGGCCTCCGTCGCCACCCGGGGACAGAGCACATATGGAAGCCGCCGTACTTACACCCCTGGTGGGCCACACCTCGGACCAGTTCGGCAAAGGGACAGTTGGAGCGGTTGGAACAGTTGCCCCAGACTGGGCGCCCCAGAGCCCAGCCCCGGCCCGGCTGGCGGGGCCTCAGACTCAGCGCTCGAGCTGGGCAGATTCCCCTGGGGCAGGCCTTGGCGCTGCCGCCCGGCTCAGGCCCTCGGGAGCGGCCCCGCGCTGCAGGCTCACCTCTACACCTCTAAAGTGTCAAAAGCTCATGTTCGCCACCGCTCGACAGACGTCTTCGCTCTGCTGGCCTGGCGAGGTCCGCCCAGCCGATCAGCTGCGCTTCCCTCTACAGCCCCAAGCTCCACTCCACGAACCTCCGCGCCCGGCTCCGCCCCGACACGTCAGGGGCTTCCTGTGTGTCGGAGGCCATTGTGACGCAAGGGGGCGGTTTCGGAGCATGCGCATGAGTGCGCGGGCGTGCGGGGACCAACTGTGGCGAGGCTGGCGTCACCGTAAGCCGGCCAGAGCCCGGCGCGCTGACTGGAGGCCGGCGGCGCCCTTCTGCGCAGGCGCCTGAGGTCCCCGCAGTGGTGGGTTTTAGACCTAGGTGGTTTCTAAAATCTTCGCTCCCTTAGTACTCTGGGGTGCTTGGAGAGGGAAATAAGTTCTCAAAAAGGAGACATGGGAGAATAAGCAAGCTGCTCAGGAAGTGGAAACTTAACAGAACAAAAAACGTTTCAGAAAAGTTTAGCAACTTTTGCTGTATTATGCACAATACAATTCTACTTTCAGTGCTCTTAGGATTGGCTCTGCCGGGTTTTGGGACACAGTAACAATGTGGATGACATGCCTCAAGGTGAGACCAAGATGAGCCTTGGAGGCTCAGTCAGGCTTTTGAGGGAGATAGATATGAACAAGATGAATTGTAAGAGGACCCAAAATCAATGAAGATCAGAGGAGGGATTAATAGGGCTTATGGAAAAGATAACACTTTGTGATAGACTCTGGAGGACATAGGGTTGAAAGTGATAATAGCAATTTGGCAGTTATGCTAAATACTTATTCTGCATTATTTTCATCCTCACAGTACCCATGAGATAGGTACAGTTACTCACATTTTACAAATGAGGAAACAGACTCAGCAAAATGAAGTTGCCCAAGGTCACTCAACTAGGAAGAAGATTCCAGATTCACACCCATTCTTGTTATTGGCCACTTAAATTTATACACTTGGTCCATTTGTTCGCTATTGACTAAATCAAAGGAGGCCATATATTTTAGTAAAAAGGAAAAGAGGGATTTATTTAAAGCCAGCTCTGAAAAGATAAGAGGGCCCATATGCCTCAAGTTACCATCTCCTTGTGCAGGTACGGGTCTTGCATAGTAAGGAACAGGGGAGGGGGAGCACAGACTTTGCAGATCTCCATACCTGCCTTTATCTCTGCATCCATCTTTGATTTATTTTTCTTTCTTGTGGAAAGGAACCTGAGCTCCTGCCTCCTGGGGCCTGTATCTGCATATTCTGTCACTCCTTTTGGACTGAAGAGAAGAGGGGGTATTGATTATGTGCTCAACAGGAGTAAGTTTAGAAAAGCTGCTTATCTCTAAAAATAAATCTAACTTAAAATTCCAATTTCCAATGCTGGTTAGTCTAAATCACACTAGTCTGAAATCACACTATTGCCCACTACTATAACGACATTCAAATACAAGAATATAGAACTAATAACACAACACCCATTTATTGGGCCAGAACACTTGGCTAGATTCCTTTTTATTTTTATTTATTTTTTGCTAAAGCTTCCACACTTTACCTCTCACTAGCCTGTGAAGCTGGAATTATTACTTCCATTTTATATATTATCAACAGAGGACCAGAAGAGCTAGGGTTTAAACCCAAGCAGGTCTTACTGTAAGGCCAGTGGCCCAGGACATCTTGGAAATTCAGATGCTGGGGCTCTGCTTCCCAGGCTGAAGCTGTGCTCTAACTTATGAGATCACAGGCAGGCAGGTGACTCATGAAGGCTTTCCTGTAGACCTGGTACCAAAACAGAATAATCCCACCCCAAGATGATAGACAGCAGCTCTTGTCCTTGCCTCTCGGCAGAAGAGCTAAGATACTCATTGAGTCATCTAATGGCAGGCCATGCCCTTCAGAAAATGTTGGTGTCATCTTCCAGGCCACTGCCCCTCCCACACAGCCTGGAACTAGAACTGGTATTTATGAGGATGATGTGTTGGTCTCATCTTAATGAATGGGCCTTGTTTGGCAGAGCTCTCAGGGCTGACAAAGGGTAGTCTCCCTCCTCCTAGTTGATTGAGCTTTCTCCCTTAGAGATGGGCCCTGTGGCTGAACAGTGTAATAGTCAACATCTTTTGTGTCACCTTCCTGCTTGCAAAATGCCAAATCAGGGAAGATAAAGTACAAAAGAAGGAGGGAGATAGTCTGAAAAGAAACAGAAGTTTATAAAAGTCAGTTTTGTGGCAATTTTTTTTTCTTGGTACCGGAGATCAAACTCAGGCCCTTGGGCTTGCAAGGCCAAGGTGGCGGAACCACTGAGCTACATCCCTGGCCTTATAAAGTCAGTTTTGTGACAGTAGAAAAGATGAGTGGGGAGACCAGGGATGTAGCTCAGTGATGCAGATTGCCTGGCAAATGCAAGGCCCTGAGTCCAATTGCAGGTACCCAAAAGAAGGAAGAAAAAAAAAAAGATGAGGGAGGGAGGGCTTCCCCACCTTCTACCTTTATAAACCATTGGGAAGAAATTTGCTGAAGCCTAGGACAAGTACAAGGTTTTTGTTGGATTGAGCCAAAGAGCTCAATGTCAGTGCCTGATAACATGCATGAAGGTCCCAAGAGCTTCCCTGCCACGAACTCTGAAATACAGGAAAGAGAGACAAGATTCCAGAACTGGAAGCGGTGAAGGTTGACCAGCTGCCATAGGGCAGGTCTGGGTACAAGCCCAAACTCTAGCTAGTGGAATTTGGCCACCTCACACATCCACAAGAGGAGGTATATAGACCTGCTATGAAACTCTGAGGTGGAGCTTATTTAACTTGATGCTAAATTAGGTAGGCAAGTTGCCTCAACACTGAAGGCTTGATATAGCCTAGTCTATATTCCTTTTGCCAGTACTTTTTGCCGAGCAATAAGGGCATAAATGAAGCTAGGCAAGGGACACCCAAACACTGGCTGTTACTAATGTTCTGCTGGATGTGTCCTCCTACTGTCCCCATCACCCTACAGCTCTACGTGCTTAAACTGCCTAAGCTCTACATACCTTAACTGAAATTTCCAAAACAATTTTCAAATCCATTCATTTCACAGTTCTTTCTTCCTACTTCCCCAAAGTTTGCTACCTATCTATTCTTCCCTCCACAAACTTCTCTCCCTCAAATTTCTTCTTGTTCCAGTCCAGCAAACCACACATAGCCATCGGCATAATCTTTCTAAAATCCAAATGTGGACATAGAACCCATGACTCCACATTTGTATGGAAATCTCGTTACTTCTGTGATAAAGTATAAACTATGAAATGTGGCATTCAAGGCTCCCAAAGCAAGTCCAGCCCTCTTCTTCGATCTGCGTCCTACAATTCAGCTATCTGGATCTAACCACTCTCTGCACTGCATCCCCAGGATAAGTGGATTCTTTCCTCTCTAGACCTGTCTTAATGTTTCCTCCTGCCCTGTGCACACTACAGCTACTCTGAAGGCTTGGCTGTCCACCTTCCCCTCTGCTTTTGCAGTCTCATTCATATGCTACCTCCTCCAGGAAGCCCCACAGTGAGTTCCCGTCTGAGCCCTAGTAGAGCCCTTAGAATTCACAACATACTTACTGAACAGTCTTTTGCTCATGGGGGTATCCAGTCTCTCCCAAGAAACCAAAGTTCAGTTCAGGGACACATTGTCCTAATATCCCTCCAGCAACTGACACGTAGCAAGCACTCATATGATATGCTTCAATGAACATGAAAGAATGAATTGATAGTTTGATGGCTATAACTTCAAATGCAAGACTGATAGCCCTTCCTGGAAAATGTCTCAATTACTGAGGGGGAAAAAAGAGATTTTCACTGGTATAAAAGACTCAATGTAGGGCTGGGGATTTAGTTCAGTGGCACCACGCCTGCCTGGCAAGCGCCAAGTCCTGAGTTTGATTCCCGGTACAAAAAAAAAAAACACACAACTCAATGTAGGTGATGCCAGGTTGCAAAGGAATTGTGATTTATGTTATAGACAATTATGTCTTTTCTCTATCCCAAATCTTAAATTCAAACAATAACATCTATGGTCCCCAGTACAATAATACTCACTCTCCCTCACCTCCACTGGACGTTGAACCCAGGGTCTTCACTCTGAGCTACGTCTCCAGCCCTTTTTTATTTTTTATTTTGAGCAGGATCTTGCTAAGCTGCTAAATTACCCAGGCTAGACTCCCAACATGTACTCTTCCTGCCTCAGCCTCCTAGTGCATAGGGATTACTAGCCAGTGCCACCATGCCCCCATCATCTTTTGCTTTTATAATTAAAAATAAGTAATAACACATACTCAGCAAGCACTCTGCCACTGAGCTACAGCTACAGCCTGAGAAGTATTTTTTTGTTTGGGTTTTTTTCCAGGACTGGAGATCAAACTCAGGGTCACTACATCCCCAGCTTTTCTTTTCTTTCTTTTTTTTTTTTTTTTTTTTTAGAAGTAGAGTCTCTCTAAATTGTCTTGGAAGGACTTGAATTTTCAGTCCTATTGCCTTAGCCTCCCTCAGCACTGGTATCACAGATGTGCCCCACCATGCCCAGCTCCAAGAAGTGATTTTATAGAGAATAAAGTCTGTCATTTACTACTATGGATTTAGTGCTTGCTAGGTACAAGACACTATTCTACGCCTTGGAGACTAACCATAACTTAAAAGTACCTTCTCACCTGACCCCCATGGAGGTGTTACTCAAATGGGGAAGATGAACAATACCAAAATAGACATGGTGGGAAAGATAAGAAAAATAACCAGGGTTAAAAGATAAGGTTTGGAGAGATTACTCCCTGAGTGACAACAGAGCTTAATGTTCATAGAATCTTCTCCCATAAAATTTTCAAGGTCCTTTTAATAAAGGAGTGCTGCTATATAAAGTCCAAAAGAAATGTGAAATTAAAGAATCAACCTGACATGGTGGCCCACACCTGTAATCCCAGCATTCAGGAGGCTGAAGCAGGAGAACCACAGCAAATTCAAGGCCTGCCTGAACTACATAGCAAGACTGTCTCAAAAAAATGAACAGACAGACAGACAGACAGA